TTGGAATATATGACTGCTCTTCTCAGGAAAGTGCGAGAGTTAATCAGTTTATAGCACAATGGTTAGAGAGTCTCGGCTGGCTCCCAAGCCTGACGGCGCTGAGTTGGAATTGGCTCAAGCAGGTGACTCTGGGCAAGTTGCCTAACTTCCTGTGAGCCTGAAAAGGTGACTTGTTCTTACTTGAAAATCATTTTTAGAATTCTGGAACACGATGTGTTTATTAGAAGCCTTTATTTGTACAGGCATCTTTTATAAAGGATGGAATCCATTTCTGCTTAATGAAATATTTATTCATTTCATATTAATTAGGCTGTGTTTGGCTTGAGGCAGACTTTGAAGGAATTTGCTGGTTCTCAGGGATCACTTGATTAAGAGCTAAATATCACAGGAAATGCAGGCTCACTCGCGCATGGCTTTCAGCCTGGGCCAGAGCACATGATCCATTACTGACCAATTTGATGGATGTCATTGCTCCTTTGCCTTTTCTGACATCTTCCCATCGGGACGTCCCATTCTGCCTCTGGGTGAGCCTCTCCAGCTTGGCTGCCAGGAGACCGCAGCTTAGACCTGGAGATGTCCTGAAACCCCGTCACCCTAAGCATCCCAGAGGTGCTGGCCGAGTTGGTCAGCCACAGGTGGATGGCCACGATGGACATTTACCAACCTTTCTTTTGCTGTGGCTGCTGAGACAAAGCACCACGAAGCGGGGGGCTTAGCACAGCAGGAGGTTTTGCTCTCCCAGCCCTGGGTGCTCTGGGGAGAATCTGTTCCATGCCTGTCTCCGAGCTTCCGGCCCTGCCGGCATTCCTCGGCGTTCCTTGGCTTGTAGATACATCCTCTCTCCAGTCGGCCTCAGGGTCACATCACCCTCTCTCCTCCATGTGTGTCTTATTTTCCAAACAAGGTCGTGTTCCCAGGCTGCAAGCGTCAGGCCTTGGGCTTATCTTTCTGAGGATAGCTGTTCCAACATGACGACAGCCTGTTCTCCCTTCCTCTTAGCTTTTTTCCGTTCCAGTCCCTGTGCCTTAGTCATCCTACCTGACAGAAAGCCTGGGGGCTGCTCCCAACTGTCCTTACTCCTTGGTTTTGCAACGTGAAGGGCTTAGCCCAAGCCACCCTGGCAGGCCAGTAGACATGTCCCCCAGAGCTGCTCAGGCCTGCTCGACTGTTGTGGGGGGCAGAAAGGCCTGTGACCCTGTGTCCTGGGAGCAGACCTCCCTCACAGCTCTCCACCCTTCTTTCAGATGAATCCGTAGTGATGGTTGTGATAACAGTACTAGTGATCATAAGAACAACTGCCATTTGCCGAGAGCCTTCTGCCTGGGAGCACTCTGTGTGCAGACCCCTATGAGAAGGAAAGAAAACTCGCCTCCATTCGGTGCCTCCAATGTGCCGGCGTCATAGCACCCACCTCACAGACATTTCCTCCCATGTCCTCACCACAGCCCTGGGAGGAAGAACAGATCACTCTCATTTTACTGATGAGTAGACTGAGGCTCAGAGAGGCTGGGTGACTTGCCCATGGTCACACAGCAAAGAGCTGGAATATAAACCCTGGTCACAGTGACCCCAGAGCCCAAACTCTTTCTTTGTCTCTACCCAGTGCATTAGACTTTATTAGATTTTATTTTATTTTATTTTATTTTACTTTTGGCCTCTTTATCTCCTGGTCAGGTTGATTCGGATGTTTCTACCAGCCTCGCTTGGCCAATGAGGAAGCAAGGCGAGAGGGGCCAGGGATCTGCGTGTGGCCCCACTGAGGTCTGTAAGAGGGCTAGGAGCAGAGCCCCGCTGTCCTGACCTAGCGCCAGCCTTCTTAGCTCTGTGTCCTGAGCAACATGGAGTGTCTCTCGGAGGTCTTAGAAAATAGATCCAAGTCCTCAGTTTACCTAGGAGGGTGCCAAGGCCCAGACATACCCATTCGTCATCGTAGAGCCAACCAAGACCCCCATCAGCGGGCCTGTCTTCCTTTACTTGTAAATCCAGACTTCCAAGCTCTGTCCTACCTCCTGTACTAACAGCCCTTCTTCATCTTGTACTGAAGTCAGACTTCTAAGCTCTATTCAAATCATTCTCTCTGCTTTGAAAGCTAGAATTCTAATTTAATTTTGAAGCATCTCTTCCAATGCCACATCTGTCTCTGAGTGTCCCCCTCCTTGGGCCCCTCCCTAGGAGGTGAGAGCCGCCTGGGCACCTTTGCCCTTCATCGTAACCGATGACACTGGTTATGGTTATGACAAGAGTCAGCGAGGCCTTCATTTGAAGACCTCATGGACTTGGGAGCATGGGCGTGGAACAGACTCGGTCCAATCACAGCCCAAGGTCTTTGAGACGGATGCAGCCAGCTGGACCGCAGGGCTCCCAGCCCCGGCAGACGCGGTGTCTGCTTACCATCTCTTCTGAGAAGACAGATGAGAAGTGAGAGAGATGAGAAATCCTGATGAGTGGAGTGGCCGGCCCACCCCATGTCTGCCTGCAGACATGGGTCTCGGGGGCTTGTGCCCAGGGCTCCAGGGGTCTCTGCTAGGATCCCCACAAAGCCTGGGCACCACGGTGCTTTTGAACAACACACCTCTCCCTCCTGGCGCTGTACAGTTTCAAGTTCATTGGAAAAGGAAGCTCTATAGGCCTTTATGCCACTACTTTTACTGCCTGGAAGAAACATCCTTTTGGAGGTTTCATGAACTATGCTAATTAAGGCATTAAAATTCACATGACATTGACCGTCCCCCTAATCCTGATGGGCGCGCTCACTGCCTCAGTCTCATTTCATCTCTTTTAGTGTCACCCCGGTGGGCAGGGTGGGCTTTGCTAACTCAGTGCAGACCGAGGCTGAGACTGAGACGGAACCAAAGCTCGATTCGGAATTTAGCCTCGTATCTGAATTGTCTCATGTCTGCCTTAGATAGATTCACAGCACGTCGGGGATGAAAGGGGTCTGATTTCCAAGAGACGTGCAACCTGGGATGCCCGGAGAAAGCCCCCAGCTCCTTAGCTAGGCCCCCAGGCCCGTGACCTGGTGTTCTCTCTCACGTGCCCTGTTCTCAGGGAGGAGGTGTCATAGGTGAGGAGTGCCCATTGGGGAGGCAGAGAGTCTGGGTTTGAGCCCTGAGACGTGAGCAAGTTCTAAAACCTTTTTGTGTCTCTTCCTTTATCTGTCCAGTGAGGACCAGGAAGTAGCTACCTGTAGTGGGTTGCACAGTGTCCCCCCAAATTCATGTCTACCTGGCACCTCAGAATGTGGCCTCATTTGGAAATAGGGTCTTTGCAGATAGAACTAGTTAAGATGGGGTCTGTCTGGATGAGGGTGGGCCCTGAATCCAGTGTGGCTGGCGCCCTTATAAGAATATGGGATTTGGAGGCAGAGACAGACACACAGAGGGCAGACGGCTATGTGATGATGGAGGCAGAGGTTCAAATGCTACAGCTGCACGCCCAGGAATGCCAAGGATTGATGGCAACCATCAGAAAGTAGCAGAGGCAGGAAGGACCCTCCCCACGAGCCTTCAGAGGGGCTCACCCCGCTGACACCTCGATGCTGGGCTCCTGGGTTCTAGAGCCATGAGACGATGCATTTCTGTTTGTAAGCCCTCCAGTTAGTGGTCTTTGTGGTGGCAGCCGGAGGAAAAGAATACAGATCCTCATGGGTTGTTGGGAAGACTGGACGGTGCCGTTCTTATTAACTGGTCATGGTTAGGGCGTCCGCCCTGCTGACTGTCTCCAGCCCTGCCTCACTCGTGCTGCGTGTGCGAGGGCTCCACACCCTCCTTTATCAGTGGCCTTTCCTGGGAAGCATCGTCCTTTGTCCTTGCCGTCTTCCCATCCGTTCACGCTCGCCCTGCGGCATGAATTCCTCCAGAGATCCCTCTGACAATCCATCCTCCCACTCTGGCCTGACTGCCCCCGTAAGGGAGCCACTCAGAAGGCAGACCTTGGTGGGCTTGACTCTCTGCCCTGCTGTGTAAGCAGGCTGTTCAACTCTGGGCATGTTAATCAGTGCACGCAGGGCGACAGTGTCCTCGTGCTCGAGGGAAGATGGAGGCTTAATTCGTGAGGTCCTTGTGGGGATTAAGTGAGACAGTCAAGGAGGCGGCTGGTTCAGTGTCTGGCAGTGAATCACTCAATGCACGGGAGCTGTCCCCATTGCGTTATAGCTTCTCCGTTGTGCCCAGTGCTCAGGAGTCTTAGTTGCGGTTTCCCTAGGAGCAGGCTCTGAGGCAAGAATTTGGGTACCGGGCCCAGGAGAGGTAGAGAAAGCCCAGGTAGGTGAGGTGGGAAGTGATGAGGAAAGGAGAGGCAGGAAGACGGCCAGGAAAGGGTGCGCCATCAAGCCAGCTACCCCCGTGGGCACAATCTCAAACTCTGGGAGCTCCGGGGGCCCCAGACTTACCCACTGGATGGACAAGGGGGCTGGGGTGTAGACGCCCAGCCCCCAGCGCGGGTCGCGTGTTGCTCCTGCCGCCGTAACTCCAGCATTTCTGGTTCTGTGCATGGATCCAAAGTGGGCTCTCCTGGCAGACAGAGTCCTCCGGAAAGGAAATCAGGGCTGGTGGGTACTGTGAACTGAAGCGGGACGGGTCAGGGGATCCGGGTGGGCACTGACCCCGTATGTCTCAGGGTTGTAGACACAGGTTCCTTTGTCTGTTTGCTCCTGGGCTGTGAGCTCCTTGAGGGCAGGGCTGCTGCTTCCATCTCCTGCAACTGCAGCTCCTTTCCCAGCACCTCTACTGGCCAACACTGAGTGTAAATATCTGGCGAACATGTGAATCTGGTCCAGCTCCTCCATTTGAGGAGCAGAGGCTGGAGGTGACAGGCTGGCATGATTGACCTGGCATGGGTCACATGCCCATTCCAGATGCGGCGAGGTGGTGACACAGCCCGAGCTGCTCCAGTAGCAGGTTTTCAGAACACACATTTGAACGCCGGAGTAGGAATGCATGAGGGCTGCCGTTTTTTTTCCAGTGTTGGCCTCAATGTTCTCCCCTTTGTCTGTCGCTCAGGTATGCATCGTGCAGAAGCGAGACACGAAGAAAATGTACGCCATGAAGTACATGAACAAGCAGAAGTGCATCGAGAGGGATGAAGTCCGGAACGTGTTCCGGGAACTTCAGATCATGCAGGGGCTGGAGCACTCTTTCCTGGTCAACCTGTGGTGAGTGACACCCTCCGAGGCCCCGTGAATGCCTCATGACAGAGCCAAATGCCTGCACGGCTCTGCTGGACGGCACCTCGTGCTGCAAAGAGAAAGGGATGGGATCTTCTGGGTTCAGATATTCTTTTGGATATGTTGCAGAGTCCATGTTCTGGGGAAATCGTATGCGTGATTTTAATTCTGTTCTCTTACCGGGTGAATCAGAGTTGAAAGTAGATCTAGAAGAGAAGGGTTTTGTCTGTCTGAGAACAATGTGGAATGTGGTAAGAGAACGCCAAATAGCGTCTCTTCTAAGGGGAGTTGGACTTTTTAGAAAATCACACCCACAGAGTTGAGGGCAAGGGGGACTGAGGATGGCTGCCCGGCATGGACATGCTGAATTCCAAGTTCTGAATCCAGCCCACAAGGCCCGCTGGGACCCATGTTCTGGAGCTTTCTGTCCACCCCATCATCTCTGCTTTAAATCTGCATCCGAGAAATGCCACCCAGCTGGTGGTTCCCTGCCTCTGTGCCTTTGTGTGTGACCGCCCTTCCTGAAACCTCCCCGTCCCCAGTTCCCCGACTTCCTCTCACCAAACCCCGTGCGTGCCTTTCGTCCAGCGTATGAGGCACTTAGGCCAGAAGCCTTCAAAAGCAAGGGCTGCTTCTTGGTTCTTTGTTTCTGGGAGTCTAACCCAGTCCCAGACACGTGGGAGGCACTGACTAAACGTCCCCCGAGCCGGGTTTTGTTCAAGTGGGGAGAGACAGGCTATTACAGGAAACAAACTGTTTCATTCTGTATCTGAGTTGACTGAACGTTCATCTTAAGAACATCAAAGGCGACCCCCGGTGGGAAAGTGCAGTGCAGCCTGTACTTCTAATACCACCGGTCATTTCGATGGCTTGTCATAGAAGCACTCCAAGCACTGGGTGATTTAGAACAAAGAGGGACATCGATCGTCCCAGTTGAGAAAGTCGAGGCATTTCCGTGGGGGGAAAACCAGACTCTGTTACACACGAGAGTCTGAATAACAAAGGCAAGCTCTTCGTGTCTCTGGCAGTGATTCAAACATGGCCATTCTTCGGGGGAAATAAACCCTTCGTATTTTGATTGCTGTACAGGGAATTTTTTTTTAAGTAAATTTCTAATTAGGAAAGCATTCATTGCAAAATTCAGAAAATGAAACACATAAGAAGGCAACCACAACCCAGGACCCTGCCACGTCCGGATGACGTTTTGGTGTGTAGTTCTGCTTGTACTGCTTTTCTCATATCGATATATGTCACTGACATGAAAACACATGCATATCATTTTGTATTCTGATTCTTCAAATTCATAGTCTTCTAGGAGTTTTATCTCATGACTGCAAACTTTTTGTGAGTCCTTTTTGATGGCTAATAGCATTCCACTTGGAGAAGTTCAATGAGGTATTGAACCCTAATCCTATCATATAGGTCACGTAGGGCTGTTTCTAGTTATCTTGCCAATATAAATAATATTGAGACAAGGATCTCTGAGTTCAAACTTTCCCAGAGGAGACCCCTCAGAGTGGGCCAAGGGGGTCGGACGCACGTCGGGGCTGGGACGCGTGTTGGAGGAGGGGGGGTTACGTCAGAGTAGTCCCTTCTGAGGCAACGTTTTTTGGATGCTCTGTCCACAGTCTCCAAGATGCCAACAGGTTAACAACAGATGCTGCTTAATTCCATGAAAGTGCTGGGTAAATAAGAATATTCTGCAAATGTTGGCCTCGGATGACATTGTGTTGCTATTGTAAGCAAGAAAGGAGCAGACCTGCTGCTTGATTTTAGAGTCACCTCTCAAACTCCCCCCTCAATGTTTTACCTGTTGATGGAGATAATAATCCCGTTTACTACTAAGAGTGTTTTGAGAACTAATTGAGAGGAAAAGATATGAAAATATGTTTTCTGTACATGAAAATGTTGTTTACTATAGAAGGGTGTGTGTGTGTGTGTGTGTGTGTGTGTGTGTGTGTGCGCGCGCGCGCGCGCGCGCGCCTGCATATATATAATAATGGATGGATGATAGATAGATGATAGATGATAGATAGATAGATGATAGATAGATAGATGATAGATCCATAGATAGATAGGTAGATAGATAGATGGTAGATAGATGGTAGATAGATAGATGATAGATCCATAGATAGATAGATAGATAGATAGATAGATAGATAGACAGACAGATGGATGGTAGATAGCCCCTTCAAGCTGTAAGTGAGAATCCACTGGTCAATGGTGAGTACTTTGTACACTGTATGTTATCAGGATTTATTTAGGTATAGTGGACAGCAACTTAGACTTGCTTCAGCCCCAAAGGGAATTTCTTGGGTTCTATAACTAAAAAGTGGAATTCCAGCTGACCTGGTATCTGTCTGTCCCCTGCTTTCCCCTGCGTTCACCTCATTTTCAGAGCCACGACGCATGCTGACCGCTGGCCACGCTAGTGTCTCCTCCCAGCTAAGTGGCAGAGGCTGAAGGTCACGCGCTGGCAGGATTGACCTGGCGCCGGTGGGGAGGCGGGGGAAGGCTGGTCCCACCTGAGTCTCAGAAACAGAGAATGAGAGAGGGGGGGGCGCCCAGAGGGGCTGGGGGCTGTTTTCCTAAAACAGTGTATTGTGCGCGGGCCCGGAACCGTGGTTGCTCCCCTGTCCTTATCGGCCTTTACTGCGGTCTTCCTTGCCCCGGGGGGATTCGGGGCCCCGTTTCTCAGGGAGGCAAAGCAGGGCTCAGAGCAGCTCCTTCGCGTACCTGAATCAATTGAATTGAGATTTAAATTCGACGCGATCCCACCGGGCCTGTGGTGTTTAGTTCTTGTAGGGAAATGAGCACTGACATTTACTGGTACGTGATCAGTGTCTTCTTCGTTTTCTTTTTTAATCCCCTAACAGGCTCTTTAGTTTCCTACCATCCTAATATTACTATCCCCATTTTACAGGTGGGGTACCCAACTCACACCGTCAGTAAGTGGAGGAGAGGGGACTTGCACCCAGGCTGCCTGGGTTCATGGCCCACGCTTGCAGGCCCTCTACCACAGCAAGCCCACCACAGCCCTTCCACCCCTTCCAGCTGGGCTTCGGTTTGGCCACCTCCCTTGGCCTGGCGGGAAGGGAGCAGCGCGTGGAATTGCTTGGTGGGTTCATAAGGATACCACTGCCTTCTATTAATTATACGCCAGCTCTTCATCTCGTGAGGTGGAGCGTGAATGATCGCAGCCTCGGAAACCCTGGCTCTGCCCCCTTCTCATTCTTCTTTCTTGCTGACATGCTTTATAATTGGCACAGGCGAGGGCTGGGCTTGGATGAGTTTTCACGACAATTTTGTCTAAAGGATGAATGATGTGTGCTCTGAAGCCTGTGATGATCCAAGTTGAGTTCTCAAGTGCAATATTTTCACCTGTTCTGAAGTGAAGCTGTTGTGTACTCTTGGGCTTAAGCCAACCCAGGGCAAAGGAGAAAGGGATTGAAAAAAAAATCACATCCCAGTGAGGGGGATGCTTTAACAGGAGCCCTGCAGAGGTGGGAATGGAAAAGGAGGGGAGGGGAGAGCTGGGAGTGGAAGAGGAGGGGAGTGGGGGGCATTTTAACACCCTGGCTCTGAGGTCTGAGCTCCCAGGCTCTGATCCCAGCTCTGCCTCCTGCAGGCTCTGAGGCTGCTATGGACTGAATTGTGTCCCTCCACCCCCCATTCATATGTTGAAGCCCTAACCCTCAATGTGACCATCTGGAGATAGGGTCTTCAGGTAGTTATGAAGGCTAAATGAAAGGACAGGTAAGTACGTAATAGGGTTGCTGTAAGGACCAAATATGTATCAGGTGCCCACATGATCATCGCGAGGTAACCACGGGCTCCAAGCCCTTCATTGGTGTGGATTTTATGAACACCTGTCCTCCAGGTTGGCCTCTGGCTGGACGACGTGCTGTCTCTTTCTCTTCTAGCAGTGGACCTGATGACATGCTGACTTTGGAAGATGACTCTTGAGTTTTTAGTACCGGATTCTTATCCTGAATAAATAGCAGTGGGTGGGTAGTTCGTTTGTGTTTTTGGACTGTATTTCCAAAATCCATTTCTACTTACCTGGTTGGTTGCAGTTACTAGACTAGCTGTTAAAATGTTTTGTTTAAGATTGGGCAGGTGCCTTCCCTGGCCAACTTAGTGCTGAAGTAACTGTGAGAATGACTACCCGGCAAAATAGGAGGAGAACAGATAAACCTGGACTCAGTTTAAACAGTTCTCACAGCAAGTGTATGTTTCCAGAACCTTCCCTAAGTAGCAATGGACTCAGTCAAGACACAGATCTCTATGTGCCACTTTAAGTCAAGAAAGAACCACTTGAATGAATGGCTAATTTTTTTTTAAAGCATTGAGACCTTTGATTAAAGTAAACCTACTTTGATTAAAGTAACAGGTGTTTACAGGCAGAGCTGCCCTGGCAGAAGCAGGGGGACAGAAAAGGCGGACAAGCACTGGAAGCCGCCCGGAACCTTGGATGAAGGATAGAGCCCTTTACAGATAATCAGCAAGTGCTGAGCAGCCTCATTTGCATGCAGAGAATCATCTTTGGCCTTGACTGTTGCTACAACCTCCCACCCAGCGTTTGCACATCGAGCCAGTTACCCGTCACCAGTTGTCCTACACAGGGTGTCTCAGCCAGCTCGGGCTGCTGTAACAAGGCACCATGCACGGGCATGGCTTAGACAACAGACATTTATTTCTGGCAGTTCTGGAGGCTGGGAAGTCCAAGATCAGGTTGGTTTCTGATGAGGGCCCTTTTCCTGGTGTAGAGATGGCTGTTTTCTTGCTGTGAACTCACAATGGGGAAAGAGATCACTTCTATTCTTAAAAGGGCAGTAATCTCATCACAGGTCACCCCGTTCATGACCTGATCACTTCTCAAAGGCCCTTCCTCCAACTGCTGTCACAGAGGGGACTAGGGTTCCAGTGTATGAATTTTTGCAGGACACAAACATTTCGCTCATACCACAGGGCAGATCTTATCCAAG